GGGGGGGGGGGGGGGGGGGGGCCGCAAGAGTTCTTAGAACAGGGTCCCCTAAACAGGATCTAGGAGGGTCACAAAGATTTTGGTCCACGGCCCGTAACCATCACTTGGCTTTGGGCGATATTCTAGAACAGCCAGATTAAGAAACCCAAATGCAAGTTATAGGGTAAATCCTCAGGCCCGCGTATTCGGGTTGGGGTGTTTGGGGTTCGAGGTTCATAGGGTTGTGTTACCAGGAACTTTTCGGATTTGCTGCAGGTTAAGAAGGATTTGGGGTTCGCAGGTCAGGGTTTAGGGCTTAGGGTTTCAGCAGTCATAGGACAATCCAGAAGCGAATCACTTCTGGATGAACTACATAAAGAGCAATATGACGGCTCAGAGTCACTTAAGGTTCAGAGTTTAGTTGTCCACCTTAAGGCATTTAGAGGCTTGTGTTGGGGTTGGGGTTTTTTGAACTCCAAGGGTCTGGTGGGGTGCTGAGGTCAAGTTCTCGGGTTGAGGGGACATCGCTAGTATAGGTGTTGGGGTATTCTATTCTACAACTATAAGAAGGAACCACCAAAAATAATATAGGTAGTTATTAAGGCTCTATATTACTGCAGACACTCCCTGGCCGCTTCCAGGTGCCCGGACGGCCGGCGGCGCCAGAATCACAGCAAGCATAGAAGGAAACAGGGAACGCCGGCCCTGACGAGCGCTTGGGCGTGTGGGGCTTCGGGTTTAGACTGCTAGGACTTTTAGGGCGTAGGGCTTCGGGCCCTAAACCGTAAACCCCAAATCCGAAATTCTAAAACCCTAAATCCTAAACCGGCTTAGCATGTTAGAGTTCAGGGTCAAGTTTACGAGTTTTGGTCTCCTTGGATTGACAAGGGCTTCAGCCTTCAGGTAAGCTGTTCAGGGTTGGGGGGTTTAGGGCTTTAGGGTTTATGGCTGAGCGTTTTAACAATTTTAAAGTTTAGGGTGTAGGGCTGTCGTAACGGCCAAGATTGCATCATGTACGCAGCACCTGCATCGAAAGAGTTGAGAGCAGGCCTCACAGCTGGATGCAAGTTTCTATGGGGAGATGAGATGCGGTTGCCATCACTTTGCCGAAACAACAGGACATGAGTTGTCTCTGGTGGCACTGCTAAACCTCAAAGATATAACTGGAGAACGACGGGCGGAAAAGGACAAATGATTCACCTTGGTGCATGTCGTATTTCTGGTTCCTGATGCTGGTATAATCGAAAACAATATGGATACTACTGCCACAACCACCGCCGCTACCACTGCCACTACTGCACCTATTGCCTCCACTACCACTACTGCAACTACTGCCACCACTACCAGCACAACTACCACTACTACCGGACTACCACTACTGTCACGACTGCCACTGCTACTCACTACGCGACTCACTACTGCCACCACCACCACCACCACCACCACGACGACTACTACCGGTGCTGCTGGTACTACGACGACTGCTCCAATGACACTGTCCTTCCCTCAGACCTTTGTAGCCTTGTCACCACCACTTCTCGTACTTCAGCTGCGCAGGGATGCCCAGCCCTGTCGGACCCGGGCCAAGTCCCTCAACCAGGCCGTCCGTCATCTTCGGTGGGCCACAGACATAGACCAGGGACCTAGAAGGGTCCTCAGCAGGGTCTCTTGGAATCAATGCTGCCACATCCTCCGCCCTGATCCGTCCTCGTCTCCCGGGCGCCTCCGGAGCTTCTCGGGTGGTGCGAAAGTCTAAGCTGAGCCTGGGCTCATTTGTAGCGAGCTGGAGCAGCTGGGCACGGAAGGCGAGCTCTGCAGGCACCGACGCCGAGTAGAGTAGAGACACCCGCTGCAAGGATGGCAGGCGATCTTGATGATGAAGTGCTTCCCGCAATATCGAGTAAAGTGGGTTTATCCCGATTCCGCCGGCCACCAGGACCAAGTTCTTCAGGCCCCGACCCTCCACAGCCGGATCAAAGCTGAAGCTACCACCGGGTCGCACCTGGACCAGCTTACCCGGCTCTGCTTTTTCATGGCACCATACTGCGGGAGGATGCCGGGAGAGCTTCACCGCCAGGCTCATCATGGGAAGCTCTGATGGAATGGAGCACATAGAATACCCGCCGACTGCCGTAACGCCGTCTTGATCGATGAAGAAATCCACCCAATTCCCTGCTTTAAACTCGACGTTCTCTTTCAGCCGCAGTCGCAACTCCCGAATCCTGGATCGCGGGGGGCAGAAAACACCGGTAGGTGCCCAAGCATCTGCCTCTACATACCGTCAAAACGACTAACTTCTGCTTTTTCCATGCCATGCAATGCTCGTTCTATGTATCTACTCATTTCCTTATGATACCGAATCTACCAATTTTCGGTACTTATTCACCATATGGGAGTTTCCCAAAATAAGGGGTACCTTATTTGGGGGTCCTTATAATAGGGATCCTATTATTTAGGGTACTATATCAGGGTCCCCTACTTTCGGAAACCCCCATATCCCAAGCCGAGGCGCGTGGGTGTAAGGGCCTTTGTCTCGACAACTTCCGCCCGGACCGCATCCTAGACTTTGAAGTAACCAAGGAGAAAAAGTATAGACTTTAATGTCACCTAAACCCTAAACCCTAAACCCTAAACCCTAAAAAAAAGTGTTCAAGGATGGTACTCCAGAACCCAGCATCTGCCGGCGCCCGGAGGCCGTGAGCTGAGGCCGAGCCCCGGCCCAGGGAGCGCAGAGGTCCCCAGGCTCGGAGCATTGCAGTGGGATTTTAGCGCTTAGGGTTTAGGGTTTAGGGTTTAGGGTTTAGGCTTTAGGGTGTGGGATTTTAGCGCTTAAGGTTTAGGGTTTAGGGTTTAGGGTTTAGGGTTTAGGGTTTCTCGGAGCATTGCAGTAGGATTTTAGCGCTTAAGGTTTAGGGTTTAGGGTTTAGGATTTTAGAGCTTAAGGGGGGTCGAGGATTTCAGGTTTGGGGAAGCCCGCTGCATTGTTTTCTGGGTAGATATCTCGGTGCTCGCACACACACACACATATGTATATATATAAACAGATAGCACCCCCC